TTCTTCCATAGATCGTAACCTTCGGATGAGACGAGATACTGACTTGCAAGAGCCAACGCCCGCCCCCTGATTTTCGTCCCAGACTTCTTCTTTCCGGCCTTTGCATTCATCGAGGTCGCCGTCGCCCTCGTCGTTGACTCAGACTGTCCACCACTAACATCCTTTCGTTTGTCGGAAGAGGGAGCCGCCCCTGCATCTGGGAAAGCAGTAGAAGATGTGGCAGTTGTGGACAACTTGGCAGCAGACGCCCTCTTGGCAGCAGCTGCCGTGACAGCAGCTGATGAGGCAGCAGACGATGACATAGCAGCAAATGGCTTGGTAGCAAATGGATTGGCAGCAGATGACGTAGCAGCAAATGGCGTAGTAGCAAATGGCTTGGTAGGACTGCCAGCAGATGACGTAGCAGAAGATGACGTGGCAGCAGATGACATAGCAGCAAATGGCTTGGCGGCAAATGGTACCGGTAGGGGCATCTTGAAAATTTTCCTGCTGGCTTTTAACGGCCATCCGGTAGGGGCATTCCGCAAATTAGGGACCGGTACCGGTAGGGGCGTAACGAAAAGATTTGAGGCCCAAACGACAGCGGGGTCTTATGGAAAATTTGAACCCTGCTCAGAGGGGCGCGACAGGGTAAATTGGCCGTTGGAGGGGCGTGACGCAAAATAACGCAAATTACAGGGGCGCCAGACAAATTTCCCCTTTTTTTTTTTTGTGTGTGTGTGTGTGTGTTTTTGGGGGGGGGGTGGAGGGAGGGGGGGGGGCGGTTGTTGTTCGTTTGTTTGTTTTTTTTCTCCCCTGTGCTGGCCAGTGGCCTGGACGGGCACGCCCAGGCCGATTGGGCGAGGGGAGACTTGCCCGGGAAAACGGGGCGGGTCTAAAACAAGGCAAAGATCCCCAAAAAAAGAAGAAACTGACTTCAGGCCAGGACTGCGCTTGGGGAGAGCAGTCAGAATCCGGCCTTACCTTCCAATTCTGTGGTGGGTCACCCAGAGGGGGGAGGGGGGGGGGGGGGTTATAAACAGTGACTAAAGGGGTTTAAAGGGGTACATCTTAACTCATGTTTTTTCATTTATTTTTATCTTGACATCAATAAGGAATGTTGAGGGAACCCTCCGCCAAAAGTTGGTTGTTTTGCTTGTTTTTTTTTTTTTTTTTCATTAAAAAAAAAACAAGCTCACCTGTCTATTGGTGGGGGAAACCAGGCGGGGCATCTGCCGCATCATTTACTCCAACTTATGTTACATCTCATGCACATCAACTTGCGTCGGTATGGGTTCCAACCAACACCAGGGGTATTTCACCAACGCATCTTCAACCGATACCAGGGCTCCAACCAATACCAGGGGTATTTCACCAACGCATCTTCAACGCGTCTTATCGCATCTTCAACCGCCGCAAGTTGATGTCCATATCGGGGGCTCATATCGACGCCAGTTCGGATGCTTCAACGCAGCAGCAACCGCAAAGATGGGGGTTCCAACCGACGCCAGGGGTATTTCACCAAAAGATTTTTCTTGTCAGAGGGCCATTCCGCTTTATTCACATCTTTTAGCGCCATTTTGGCATACATCTCAACTTATGGGGGTATTCTGCAAATTATCCCTATTTATTATTAATTTGTGCAAATTGTATTGGTTTTCAATTGATAATGAGTTAGCAATGAATTAATGGTTCAGGTGGTGAAAAACAAAAAGCCCTGGTAAGTCCCAGCTCACATGGCATTGAGCCAAGTTTGGCAGAAAAAGAGAAAATTAAATCCGGAGGGCTGGGAGCGATGCAAGAATGGCAGAGTGAAGGAGTAAGAGGAGGAGGAGCAGCTCAAGGAGGGATATATATATGACGGTGAAAACACTGAAAAGTTTAAGTTAAAGTGGTCTGCCAGATGTGCGAGCGTGCTTATCCAGGGACAATAAGTCGTGATGGAACAAGGGCATGAAAATGGTTGGACCACCCACCATCAGCACGTTTCCCAGCTATTTTGCAGAAACGCGCCATGCCCGGATGGATTTTGGGCGAAACGGCGCCCCGTTCCATCCCCCGTGCATGCTGGCGCGTTCGTTGGGCGGGATGCACCGGGGCAACGTTTCGCCCAAAATCCATACGGGCAAAACGGGTTGCACGCGAGGCCCGATTTGCCTGGATGGATTCCGGGCAAAATGGCGCACCCCGGTGCATCCCGCTCAACGAAACGTGCCAGCATGCACGCCGCATGTGTGCAAAATGGCCGGCAAATGTACTGGTGGTTTAACAAATTAACATACAGCCATTTTGCGCAAATGCATTGGTGGTTTAACAAATTAACATACTGGCTGGCAAATGTACTGGTGGTTTAACAAATGTACTGGCTCAGTCTGGCTGGCAAATGTACTGGTGGTTTAACAAATGTACTGGCTCAGTCTGGCTGGCAAATGTACTGGTGGTTTAACAAATTAACATACAGCATGCTTCCCCCCTTTTTCACTCCCTCTCCTCTTAATAGCTCTTTTTTTTTTTTTTTTTTTTTTTTTTTTCCCCTTCTCCCACGGTTCTTCAAATGATCGGAATGTGGATCAGAATGCTTATACTAACAAACACTTCCTTCTTTTCTCTTTTTTAACTAATAAACAGTCTTCACTTGCCTTTTTCTTTTTCTTTTCTTCCCTTAACTAACAAACACCCTTCACTTTGCCTTCCTTCCTTTCTTTCTGTCTGTCTTTCTGTTTTTAACCCCCTCTCCTTGCTTTGTGTCTTCTATTGTTCTTTTTGTTTTCAGGGTCTTGAAGTGATTGAGGCCCATTACTTGTTTGGTGCAGATTACGACAACATCGACGTTGTCATTCACCCTCAAAGTATAATTCACTCTATGGTGGAGACGCAGGTGGGTAGGCGATAACCTTACTCCTCTCAATGACTCACCCCCTCCTCCCCTCTCTCCCCCCCCCTCCCCCCCATCTTGCCTGCATCTGCTCTCACCCTCCCGCTTTCCTATGGCCCCTGGCATGAAAGAACAAAAGCCACTCCCACAAACCCCTAAGGCATAAATATGAGCCCAATTTTCCGCACAGTCTTGACTTAGCTTACCATAAATGGCATAAGACATTCCCAAAAGATTCATAATTATTAATTTAATAATTAATAATTTCACACCCAATAATAAGAAATAGACATGAGCATTGAGTACAGAATAATAGAGAATATCTTATGAGCAATGCATATGAATACATTGAATAGAGCATACCCATTTCCGCACATCCACTTTTCTGGACTTCACAACCGCGGTGTATTCACACAAGACAATGCCAAATACGTAAGTTAGGGCGTACTCACACAGCGGTGGCAATCTAGCAAAATCTGCTGAATTTTCTTTCCCGTGTTTGCTGAAATAGTACCCAGCCCGGTCACACATGGGTTGCAAATCACAAAGGACACGAGCCGGACTCTCTGGCAATTGCAAAATTGCTGCCTATCATGGTCACTAAGCGCGGATTTTTTTTTTTTACAATTCCCAAAAGGCTAAAGAGAATTTGCGACGGCCAAAAGAGAATTTGCCACTACCTCTCGAGGTGGTGGCAAAATGCCCATCCCCGCGGCCCCCCAGGCCGCTGACAAATGCTACCCCGTTTGCAATTTTGGTGGTCGGAAAACCCTAGTGTGACTCTAACAGCATAGCAGATTTTGCCATTTAGCAAAAAAAAACGCTAGTGTGAGCATGCGCTTAAGGCGCTAAAGCAGTGAAGCACCGGCTCGTGATGATTTGTTTTGCTCTATTTTAGTATTTTGTCGATTCTTAAACGTTAAAACTACCCTATATTCTTCTCTCAAATTGTCTTTCCCCTTTCACCACCTACCTGCCATTAACTATCCTAAGGCTATGTACTATGTCGAGAGGACCGGTGCAAGCATATCTGATGACACCAAATCCTTAAGGGGTGAAAGAAGTGGAACCCTCCCTGGTGATTTTTTAATTTTTACCCTCTCGTCTTTTATTTCTAATTCTTAAAAAGACCATTTTCACTACCTACCGACCCACCACTACTCCTAAGGCTATATATAGAAGGGACCCCTGCAAGCATTTCTGACGATGTTAGTATAGGAGGTTTGGTTTTTGTTAAGATAATAAAATAATAATGAAGCAGTCCTTCCGGACATCCATTAGAATTGGAACGATACAGAGAATGAAGATTAGCATCATGGACCCTCGCTGCGCATTTGAGGATGACACACATAAATCGAGAAATGGTCCAAAGTTTTTTGGGGAAAAAAAAAATAAAATTACTAAGCTGAGTTAATTAGCTTCATATTGTCCATCAATAAATCATAACTTTTTCTCTATCGGCTTATGGAGTTGCTCATAATGTGGATTTCATCATTTCACTGACGTAAAGAAAAGGAGAAGAAAATTACGGTGTTACGATCCTGGACAATTCCAAAGTGCAAATACACAAGGACATACACTGCCTTCCAATTGCAAAAGGAAATGAATGAGCTTGAGAGAGAGAGAGAGAGAGAGAGAGAGAGAGAGAGAGAGAGAGAAGCAGAAGAAGAAGAAGCAAGAAAGAAGGAAGAAAGAAAGAAAGAAGAAGAAGAAGAAGAAGAAGAAGAAGAAGAAGAAGAAGAAGAAGAAGAAGATATACATCAGCAAACTCAGCAAAAGCGGCATTCTCAGCAAGGCATGCATTCCAGTGGCAAAACTCAGAAATCAGCAGTGTGCTCAGTCCGTGTTTTTGCAGGTCCAAGGACAATGGGAAAAAAAAGACTTAGTCAAAATGTGAGTATGATGCTCTGGTTGTGGTTTGCCATGGTGGTGGTGGTGTGGTTGTACACCTGATGATTGCTACTGGAGATCAGGGCTTATGGCATACTCACATTAGGATTTTGTCTGCTGATTCTGGACGGCATTGCAGTCAGATACACATCTTGCAAAAAGTCCGTAGTGTGCATGTGCTCTTAAACCACCAGTACTTCCTAAAGTTGTGCCCATTAACAAGCCACAATTTCAGGAAACATACGGGCCACTACAGGAGCGCCCAAATTCCTTGGACTAGGAACGTTTCTACTCTATTTTTTTTCCACGGCCGATAGCTGGGCCAAGTACTGGTGGTTTAATTCCAGGATTGTCCCTGTCAGTGCAGAAGGCACCTGAATATGCATGCAGCCCGGTGTGGGATGTGTATCGTACGACGCTCGGCAGATATGTGCACACATATTCCAAAGAGCGCTAGAGTGTCTTTTTTTTTTTTTTTTTTTTTTTTTTAAGAGAAAAATGAGCGCCGGAGTTTTGATATCTGACATTGATGGATTTTAGATATGATAAGTGGCAGTAATGTCTTTTCCTTCCCTCCCTCCCGGTTTTCCCTTCTCTGGAGAGGCTTAGTGGAAGTTAAGGCCCATAACTTATTCATGTCATTGACAACTTAAGGCTCTGCTCGGGTGGCTGTCTTGTCATGTTTGTGACGTGGTTTTTCTGTGAGGAGGAGCTTCTTCTTCTGTTCCTCCTCCTCCCTCCTCCCTCCTCTTCCTCCTCCTCCTCCTTGTGCTGCTCCTCCTCCTCCTCCTCCTCCTCCTCCTCCTCGTACTACTGCTACCACTACTACTGCTGCTGCTGCTGCTCCTCCTCCTCCTCCTCGTACTACTGGTACCACTACTACTGCTGCTGCTGCTGCTGCTGCTGCTGCTGCTGCCGCTGGTGCTGCTGCTCGCTCCCCAGGATTCCTCTGTTCTGGCCCAGCTTGGTTGGCCGGATATGCGTCTGCCTATCATATACACGATGTCTTGGCCGCAGCGCCTTCCGACCTCAGAGGAGACCTGGCGGCGTCTCGACTTCGTCAAGTAAGTGACTCAAAATTTGAAAGCGCACTCATGCTTGCATTGGTTTCCACATGTCATTTGCCCCCCCTCACATGCCTTCCCGAATAACAAGCAGTTCACATTTGCTTTTGGTGAATTTGAAAGGCTTCACAATTCTCAGAACCCGGTCCCGGTACCATATCCCAATTTCCCCCTGGACCATAGGCATGTCCCATAGGTCGCAAAAGAACACCCTGGTAGGTACCACCGGGGAAACCGTAGGTAGGTTGGGCCTCTAGATGGCTGTAGGGGTTTCATAGTGTCAGTAAGTCAGGTACTCTACAGGTGTCAATCCCCGGGTCGGTCACAGCGTTATTTTGCTAGTGTGTTCGTTTCGTGTGTTGCTTTATTCGTGCAGAGTTCCCTTTGATGATGCATGCATGCTGTGGGATTGAAAAGCAGGTGTGATTACAATGTCATTACAGATTGCAGATTTTGCATTTTTGTACATTGTTTGTTGTCGGCTGTCTCTTTTCATTTCTTGTTTCCTTGGTTTGCCTTTGAAAGTTGTTGTTCGTGAATATCCAGATCGTAAGTGTGTGTTTACAGTGTGAATGCGAGGTACGCTCGATGTGCTTTTAGAAATTGACAACAACAACAACAACAACAACAACAACAACCCATCGCTCCTCGCGTCCCCTGCATCCTCCTCCACCCTACCAGAGAAAAAAAAAACACTCTACCCCCCC